AATATGCAGATACTTTCTGTGAGTTGTTCAAACTGCAGTGCTGGGTCTAAACTCACTGACCTACTTTAACTTGTTTTTTGAGTGGCTGAGTTTCAGACTTATCTCCATTTTATCTGGATGTCAAATATTGCTCAGTTTTCAGAATTATTGTGCATGGCTCTGTCTGTAGTTGATCTCTTCTCTGGGTAGGTGGTTTCCTGCCCTAAATTTTCATTGCTAATTGTAGTCATTCCTCATGCACACCAAAAACACTGTTCCAGTCTACAATATCACTAGTGTGTACTCTCATCCCCGAGAGGCCTTCAGACATCTGGGGCATTATCAGTTAAGTACTTTCACATCTGAACATACTGAAACGAGCACATGTAAAAAAATGATGCTTGCAAAATGTTTGTTGCCTTAAAACTTAGCAGCTGGCAGGCTATCAGAGCACCAAGCCCACTTGCAGGGAAGGAAACCAAGTGTTTGAGGAAAGATCAGCCACCAGGAGTCACACAGGATTGGGCTGTCAGACTGCAGGAGAGAGATGAACATCTTTGAAGGCTCCCCATTCACAGAGGCAGCTGCCCAAAGTCATTTGTTGGAAAACAGGGCCCCAGATCTTGGTTCCTGGTGGGCAGATCTCGCTATTCCCGTCGCTCCCATTCACTTCCCGGGAGCCGTCTGTCAGATCTCTGCTCTGCAGCACAAGCCAACTGTTATCACAAGTTTCCCTTCTGAGGAATTTTCCTGCTTTTCCTGTCTCCTGTGCAGACACAGTTGTGCAGACTGAAGTTTCACCAACGTGAAAAAAGAACAGCAGCTTCAGACATTCAGGAATTTCTGCTCCCTGCGCTGGGCGCGTTTCGATCTGGGTGCTTGGTTTGTGGAGTGGCTGAAATTCCCCCCAGAGGGTGACACTGGTGACTGGCTGTGCTGCCATTTCTCCACACGTGGCAGGGCTTGGAACCCTTAGCTGGAAGCCAGCATCACTTATGCACTGTCTCCAGCATTGTGCTGGTGTCTCACTCCAAATTTCTCCCTGACAGCTCCAGCAGGTTCCCATTTCCTTAGACTACCTTGACTGAGTGGCTCGTAGGTGTGTCACAGTGTAGATGCCACACCAGTCACAGTGTTTTTACTTTGTCCTAGCAACAGCTCAAGACACTGTGTTGGTGGTGATCCAGCTGGCTGCCAGATTTTATTGAGTCATTGGCAGAGGAGAGCTGCCATCAGCACAAGTGCCCTCCTCACTCACATCTCCTCCTTTCTGAGCAATGCCCAAGTGCCCCCGAGAGTCCCAGAGCCCTCTCCTGTGACAGGCACAGCTCTGCTCTCCCAGGACAGAGGAGGAAGCACCCACACCCTGTTGGGTTTCACTGAGTGCATCATACCTGACCGGGTCAGGGCAGCACATGGTGCACTTGGTGCCAGCATAAGAGGGTGAAAACGGCTTTGACAAGATCCAGGCAGGCCCAAAATAATCTCAGCTCTTGGCAGAGCTGACACAATTTGTATGGGGAGACTTCAGGCTAGTCAGAACTCGTCAGGAGACACAGTAGATCTGCTTTTTAAAAATGCATTTGAAACATTTGGGAAGTTCCTCTTCTTCAACTTGAGGTTGTTCCTCCCACACCCCTCCATTTTTGGACTTACAAAGGTATGCCAGTGGATAGTGCACATCTTGTATGCAAATTCCATATATTTTCCAGATGTTTGGAATATATATGGCTCTCAGATGCCACCATCAAGTGCCCTGCCTGGTCCCCTGCCCTGTGCTCCTCCTGAACAAGGAGAATTGCCTCATCTGAGTACACAACAGACATAATTTTTCCCACTTTCCCACCATGGCACAGAGCTACTCCAGCAGGGCATGGCAGAGCTTCATGGCCAGTCCTGTCCCACCATCTCCACAGGGAGCAGAGGTGGCTCAGGAGCAGCACCAGCTCTGCCATGGGGGAGGCAAGGGACAGTGACAGCCTGTCGTGGTGCCAGGCCACTGGTTAAATGAATTTTTAAACAAACACCTCTGCAGGAGAAAATAATGGAAATTTAGCACCAGGAAGGCCTCATCCTGGCCCTGATGGTCAACACAAATATGGTACTGAAATAGAGCCTGCTCCTCTGCTTCAAGCTACACCCCTGTGCTTGCAGTAGGAATTAATGAGTTTACTTAAAATCCTCCTCCTGGTAAAATCCTTGCTCCCTACAATGTAGCTCTTGAACCATGCCATATGCAAACCCTTGCTGCACAGAAGGTCTATTTTTTTTTTTTTTAATAGAAGCATAAACAGAAGCCTCCTCAGCAAACCATAAGGTTTTTAAACTATCCATGTTATGAATGCTTGTCCACAGCTCCTGCAGAAAACTGGTTTCCCAAAAGGGCTATATGGGGCATGGGACTGGACAGCAACAGGCTCTGATGCTGTGCCTTCCACTGGATCATTGTCTTCTGTCCTGGAACCAATTGTCTACAAAAACTGATGATGGTCTGATTAAAACAAAATATAAAAAGATACATTACCCCTCCTTTGCACAGCTTGCATGCTCTCTACATTCCCCAGTGCAGGTGCTCCTAACTTGGCTTTAAAAAAGATCTCTCAAGAGTCAAATGATGCAGATTCATTGGGGACACACTGGATTTAGATATGCAGATTCAAAAGCCCACAGTTGTTTTTTGCAAGACACCTCTAGTTTCCCTGGAACAGAGACATGGGCTCAGGCCCTGCCCTGGCAAAACCATGTACAAGAACCAGGAGCTAATCACAAGAATGCCTGAGATCAAAATTTCAGGGACTCCATACTGGCAACATGGCCACATGCTGGACTTCTTTTAAGTAGATAAGCATCAATCACAACAGAGTTTATGAAATCATTTCTTGTTTACAGAGCCACGATTTACTTTGATATAAAAGTGTAAGTCCCAGAAGTGCTCACAAATTTAATGCTGTGTTCTTTTCTTTGTTTAAGCTGGAACAATAACAACTTGCATTCAAGTCTTAGGAACAGTTCAGAGTGACACTGTACCATTAAAAAAAAGAAAAAAGACCAACCAAACCACCAAGAAAGCCACCGTGGGAATTATAAAAGATGGGCCTGGCACTGGAGATGAAACTCACAGGCACAGCTGAGTTTGAAGTTGTCATGGTACCACTGCTGCTACGTGTGAATCACAGCACCATCAGACCACCCTCTGAAAAGCAGCAGTTTTGCCTGCATACAAGGCAAGCAAAACCTCAGAACAAACTGTCCTCTACCTCCCAGGAACTCAGCATTCACTCTGATTTAGTTGTCTGGATCCAAAGTTTGAAAAGTGGTGACATTTTGGAAAAATGAGTAATTTTCTGCAAGCTAGGCTGGAATCCACCTCGCCACGACATTATGGAGTTGCAACACCACAACCTGTGGATTAAGTCAGAAGCACCAGATACAAGTAGTTTGTCGATGGCAATAATAAAAATGAACAGAATCCCTGTCAGTAATCAATGCTTTTATTGCTATTAGCCCTTCTGTGCTCTGCTACACATTGCAGCATGGATAATTCATCACTATCTTGTTAAACTTATTTTGCAAATTTTTACTTGAATATGTGGGCTAAGGTTTGTTCCCTTTATTGCTATGCTCCTAATAATAGTGTGCAGCCAAGTGTAAAAGATCTTCTGTCTTCTCAATTAACAGACTATTAAGCTTTCCCCTAAGAGTAATAAACTCCTGAAAACTGGCAGGGGCAGCAGTCTACAGACACATCTTTTTCCCCAAACTGCAGGTTTCTCTTTCCAGATCTGTGTGGAACGTTCTAAACCAGATTTTGCTGAGGAGACACACAGAAGGTATATTCACACTAACTAACATGCTAAACAGGTGAAAAGCCATCTGGTATACAAGCAAACATTTCAAAATATTTCTTTCATCAAGTATTTGCTCACGGTACATGAATAATCTTTAGAGACTCTTTCTCAACAACAGATATTTTTTTCAAGTAGGGCCACAGGGTCTCTGAGCATCCCTGGAAGAGACAGCTGGAAAAAGCAAATATGTTGTCAGGATGGTTGAATTCACTGACTTAGAAGCATCTGCACTGTTATGAAATAAATGAAGGGGGCTATAAATTTCAGAACCCTTGCTCTGAATTTAGGAGTTGGGGAATGCAGAAACTGAAGACAGCGGCAAACTGTCCCTCCCTGCTCCCAAATGCACAGTCAGATATCTGGGAAACAGCAAGCAGATTACCTGTATTTGTAACTAAATGCACTGTTCTCAATGTTCCCTGCACAAAAGGTAAGCAGGGTCAGGCTGCAGAGGTGAGGTGTTACCACACTCATTAAGTTACGCCACAGGAGAGCCAAAGATCACACCCAAAAGCAACAGGGCTGCTCTGTTTCCACAGTGCAGAAGTTAAGGCTGGGCATTCACAACTTAACATGCCCAGGGTCAGAAGATGTTCTTGCAGAATTTTTAGAATTTTTGAAAAGGATAAAGAATTCCTCCCTGAAGTTTATGATCTTGGAAGAAAGATCTGCCCCTCTCTCCTTAATTTGCTTAGAGAGCAGCCAGGATCATCTGCTACCTGTAACTTGGCTCCTCTGTGAGTGCACAGCAATAATATGGAAAAAGAGAAGGTGCAAGGAGGTTCTTTTGCAACTTACAGAGTGGGTAAGATGTTCTACTTCATCAGACTCTGCTTAAAACCATGGCTGGTTTGAAACCTGCCCAAGAGCCATGCTATACCAGCCACAATTTGTTATTTTCTTGTCCCTTGCAAACAGAAACCAGGAAGATTCCCTAAAATTCACTACTAGGAAGTCCCATTGCATTCTTTTTCAGCTTGCTGTGATAAGATGGTATTGTCAGCACTAACCTTTAACTAAGCAAAGCCTAGCCTTGGGTTCTGTGTGGGGACCACCCCCACACCAGGATATACTTCTCTGTTGCTTAAAACCAACTAAGTATAAACAAAGGGAGGCACCCAAGCACTCGGAGTCAGCTCCCTCCACATAGCTTTTCCTTCTTTTACCTCAGTACTACTCATTTTTCAGACTCAGATGACACTTTATTTTTTTTTTTTTCTTCTCTGGGCAATTTAATAAGCAACTTCTTCTTCCCTCCACCTTTGATCTTCTTTTTTCTTCCTTTATACTTACTGGGTTAATAGGTTTATTTTTTTAAGCTATCATTGGACAACCCCAAAGCAATAGGTGCCCTTCTGTTTTCTGATCACCTCTATAACATGGGCCATAGAAAGTCATTATTTTTTAAATTAAGAACTAACATACTCCTGGAATAAGGATGACCAGTGCTCAGGTAAGAAATTAACTAAATAAATCTTTCCCCTTGTCTACTATTGCCTTATTTACAATTTTTCTACATTTCCTGTAGAAAAAATGCTCTGGATTCCCTCAGCTCTCAAAAACCATCTCAGTACCATCTGTAACCAGTGTTCCTTGACTAGCTCCAAATCAAGCTCAGTTGTCATTTTGTAGTTCCATACATCCAAATTATTTCCCCTTTCCTTCTTACTGTTCCTTCACCTTGATTTTCAAAAGCTCCTTCAATTCCCACCCTAAAACCTTTCCTTCCAGTCCAACCTGCCTCACTTTTCCCCTCCTTCCCCCAGCTGCCTCTTCAAGTGGGAAGTCATCTTTCTCCAGCATCAGGGATAAAATTCACCCCACGCAGAGGAGTTGGTGTCAGGTCCACTTAAGTCTTCCGAAGAATTTCACCTCAGATGACTTTCCCTTGTCCTCCTCCTCCAGACTCACTCCTTTCACAATGCTTTTCAACAATGACCTCAGCCAGATTCCTTCACTACTGCTAACTTGTACCAGCACTTAATGTACTTTATGTGCCCGCAGTGGTTTTTTCTGAGTTTGTAATAGGCTGCAAATTCCTTGAAGCATGTCTCATTATATTTTTGTATAGCTCGACTCACTCTGCCTCTACTTAATAAATAATGGCTACTCCACAAGAATGCTCACTACACACCTCTCCTGCTCTAAATACCAGCCCTTGCATTGTCAGCTTTCTTAATTTTTCTTTTGTCTGCATGAGTCATTGTACCCATTTTCTGTGTGTGTTTACGTACACATTCATGCTCATTGACATTTCTCTCCACGGGAAGAAATGCTAAAGTAACCCTCTGCACCAAAATTCCTTACTTTGCACATAAATCTAAACAGTTTGATTTAGCTGTAGTGTCAGCTTCAAAGATTTTCCACTTTTTTATTCTATTCTTTATTTTATTCTTCACTTATTTTTTTATAAAAGTTTCCCTTCCCTCCCTCCAAAAAAACCTAACCAGAGAGTACAAAAGCAGTGTTTGTGTTCTCCAAGAAAAGCTATTTTAGACACAAGACCCCATGTTTAACTTGCCCTGCTGTTGCTAAAAGAAATACATGGCAGATGATAAACAAACAACATGCTAAAAATACACAGAAATCTTGAATACTGGAACTAAGCCTAAGTGAAAGAGCTTTATGTTGAGGAGAACACAGTGAGGTGGAGCCTAGCTGAGAAAAACACTGGCTCCCACAAGCACAGTCACAATAAGGCACTTTCACTGCTGCAAGGTCTTATTTACTTGTCCAAGCCTATTAGGGGTTAGACCTGCTCTACAATTGCAAGCCTGGGGTCAGCTTTCACAGGTTTCAGGTACAAATTACAGCCAGTGCCCTGTTTCTGCTTTGGTTACTCACTGGCTTTAGAAACCTTTCTTTCATTTTCTTCACTCATGCTGGCTTTTAAATTTGCTCATTTAATGCACTGCAAGTGAGTTACATTTGCAAAACCTTTCTCTTGCAAGTACATTTTAACCTAGTTTTACTCAAAGGTCTCAGATGAGATAGCCCAAGCAGGGGCAGGGTTAGAGAGTATGATTTAAATAACCAGTGCAGACAGGAGTTGTGGAGTTCACTGTCCATTCTGTGATCTGTCACTTTCCAACATGTCTCTGACCACAACATAGCAGTCCCATCATAGCCAGGGATGTTGTCATCTGATAGGAATCCTCACATTCAGGTGCTCTAAATTCAAAGGCCAACTCACATTCTGTGCATTTTAATACACCCAAACTTGAGATACTGCAAATTATTCTCTCTTGTCTATGTCACATATATGTGCACCGGATACTCCATTAGCATTAAAGTCTCTCTAAAACAAGAACTGTTTTTTTACCTATTTAGCAGAAAAATCCTGACATCTAGTAAGCCCCACTTGAAATTTTGTCAAACTCCGGAGTCAACTGCAATGCAAATCTGGGGTTCCTCAGTAATAATTTGTAGACTATCTCCATTGTCTCTCTGTGAGGATTGTGGTAGGAAATACAACCAGTGGCAACAGGTTACAGACAATCCCTGAAAGCAATACAGATCTCTGTTTTATATAGATGCTGGGGAAAGAGCCACCCTTGCTCATGGCAGGAAAATTGCAGCAATTGCTGAAGAGCCCAAGTAAGCAGAGATAAGATAGTAACTTCTGCAGTGGAAAAAGAAAATATGGCAAACAGAATTCCTACTTTCAAAGGAGTTTTACCATTTTGGCTTTATAACCTGACTTTGTTTGCTCAGATGCTGAAGCAAGGCATCCTGGTACCACAACATTCCTCCTGAGGTCCTTTTCTGCATCTCCCTCTCATGCTGGATTCTCAGCAAGCCCAACCTAGCCATCCTTCCCTCCAGACTCAGGATGGACCATCTGCCCAAATAGCCACTGTGTATCCCCCCAACCCCACTGAACAGCAGTAGCCCCTGTGGCCAGCAGGGCTCCATTGCATTGCCCCTTTTATAGTACCCCTTTGAATCCCTGTCAGGTCTCAGGAATTTGAATATCAGGTAAGAAACAGTCTCTCTCTAATCTAAGCACTCCTTTGACCAATATACTGCTGTAGCTGTGTCCTGGCCTTAATGCATTTCTGAACAGAAGTTTCTGTGCTTCATCACCCTCTGATTGGGTCCTCACTCCAGGGACTGAATTTTTCTCCACATATTGTTCTCAACCATCCGACCCTTCCCCTCCTGCTTCCCACTCCAGAACAATACTTGGACTGAGCAGAGGAGGACAGTGAACTCTGAGCATCCGGAGTGGAACTGCAAAAAAAAAGAAGCTGTGCCCTGCTCTACAGATGTTTCCACGGTTGTCAAGATCTTTATCTCCTGTGCTGAACCCTTTATTTCCCTGCAAGGCATAGCATTCCATGCCACAGGCAGCCACGTTCCACATCAAAAGGGACAGCACCGTCTCGGCTCCTGTGGAATCGTGTTTGCTTTAGGCCAGCTGGGCACAGGCTCAAAGGGTGACACTGGCACAGCTGCACCATTAATGCAGGCTATCAGGAACACAGAATGTGACTGGATGACTGGAAACCAGCTGCTATTTCTACAGCCCATAATGTAGTGCCAAAAGTCTCCATATCCCCTTGATCCGAACTGGGAGATAAAAAATCTGGACTAGGCAGAAATGCATACAGTGCTCAGAATCACATATGACCAACATTACCATTTACTGCCCCAGGGGCCCTAGGAGCCAGGCACAGCAGCTAGCCTGGGTCAGAGGAGACTTCTGTTCCATGCAGGAGGCTCCTGGGACTGTCAGGAGACATTTTGCAGCAGCACTGTACTGTATTACAGGCATAATTTGAAGTCAAACCAGTGATAGCAAGCCATATGGTTCTAGTGGAAGCATAACAAAAACATTTATGTAAAAAAAAAAAAAAAGAGATAAAGACGGCAGGAAAACTGGAATAGTACCTTTCTGACTACAGAGAACTAAGTTTTCAAGTGCTAGGCAGATGTTGAAAAACAATGAAAAAATCTGTTGAAAATCCTGATAAACGAATGATGAAAGAATACATAAAAAGTTAGGGTTTTTATGTAACTAGCTTTATCCCCATACCTTTTAAGTTTTAAAGAGTGAGAGGTATTCAATACAATAGCTGCTGTCAGTTTCTAGACAATTATTCCTTCCACTTCTAAATTAGGAACTGCAAATCTATGCCATCCAAAAAATACAGGACTATTCTTTGGGCTGTGATCATTTTCAGCAGGGGATTTTTCAGTGCCTTTTCTTCCTCTATCAGGAGCTGCCACTGTTTTGTGCGTGTTGGAAGCAGCTGCCACCAGATCTCTGAGTCAGATCTCATGCAAATGGCAAAATTTGGCCCCCTGGGAAACAACCACTGCCTGCACCACCATAGTGCCTTCCCTCTGGGAAACAGGTGGTGGGACAGAATGGGAGCAGGCAACAGGCTGCCAGCTAGACCATGCTGAGGCCAAGGACACTTAAAAAAAAATCCCCTCTCATTTTCCCTTTCTGACCTTGAACCTGCATTACATGCCATTTTCAAAAACAAAATTTTTTGGGGGGAAGAAGGCTTTGTGTCATACACTTTGCTTCTTTCTGCCACAGTAAGCAGCATTCTAAGATAAAGGGGGTGCTGGGGGTAGCTGCTGTTAGATGTCATCACCTCTCTTCTCAGTGTGCAGGCACTATGCAATGCCTTGGGTGAATACTTTCAGAGGAGAGACCAAGACACAGCATTCAATACAGCCAATGCATAACGCAGTACCTTAGGCAAACACTCGTTTCAAAAGAGTTGTCTAAAAATATATACTTCTTTTGTCTCCTCTGCCCTTCATGGGTGATGACTGGGCTCCTGTGTAGTTTAAAGATGAGATGAAAGGACTCAAAATAATAGGTAAGAGGAAGGGGGAAAATGGCACGAGAGTTAACAGCTCCTTACACAAGAGACAGACAGCATGATATGCAAGGATTACCTCAACTCTTCTTTTCAGATTTTTAAACATATTTACATGCTGACTAACAAAATCCTGGTGCTTGTTCATAATGAAATGTAAAGCTTCTTTAGATTTTGGACCAGGAAGTAAGCAAACCTGCGTCAGTCAGTAATACTCCATGATTTAAGTGGTGATACTGATCTCTACACTCACCTAAAGATGTGCTGGGCTGCATCCAGAGCCCCGTGGGCAGCAGGGCAGGGAGGGGATTCTGCCCCTCTGCCCCGCTCTGCTCAGACCCCACCTGCAGGGCTGCATCCAGCTCTGGGCTCCAGCACAGCAAGGACAGGGACCTGCTGGAGCCAGCCCAGAGCAGGCACCGAGGGCATCAGAGGGATGGAGCAGCTCTGCTGTGAGGAAGCTGGGGCTGTTCAGTCCAGGGAAGGCTTTGGGAAGACCCTCGAGCACCTTCCAGTGCCTAAAGGGGCTACAAGAGGGACTTGTTACAAGGACATGTAATGATAGGACAGAAGGAATGGCTTTAAGCTGAAGGAAGGTAGATTTAGATTTGAAATTTGGAAGAAAGTTTTTGCTCTGAGGGTGGTGAGGCCCTGGCACAGGTTGCCCAGAGAAACTGTGGCTGCACCATCCCTGGAAGTGTTCAAGGCCAGATTGGATGGGGCTCTGAAAGCCTGGTAGAGTGGAAGGTGTCCATGCCCATGGCAGGGGGGTGGGAATGAAATTATCTTTAAGCTCCTTCCCAAGCCAAGCCATTCTATGAGTCTACTACCTATGACATGAATAGCTACACAAGATTTTTGTCTCCTAGATTTATCTAATTCTTGCTGCAAATGCTAGTGAGGATTTTTTCACTATGACCACGTTAAATAGCAGAAAATGAAGTGTGGTTAGAAAGTAAAAGGCACTTGAAAATAACATCTTGTAGCTTGCTATCATAAGATTCCCACTCCCTCTCCTTCTTCCTCCTCCACTTAAAGTAATTGTGGCACAAAAGCAAAGACCCTCAAGTCACTGGTCCACTACTGCACAGAGATACACTCGTGTGGGGACAGCACACATCACCTGAAGGGACACAGGGTCCCTGGCTGTCCAAATGTGAATCACTGAGCCATTTGTGAGGCAGGTGACACTCAATGAGGCTTCTTGAAAAAAAAAAAACCAAAAAAAAAACACAACACCAAACCAAAGGATTCCTTCAGGGTAAAATGTGAATTCAGAGAAAAAAAGAAATGTGCAATTATATCAGCTACTGGAGGAACTTCCATCTTCCACAGAAACTCCAGCAAAGCATTTCCGAAGTTGCAGCATATACAAGAGACTGAGTACCAGGGCATCCAACTCCAAATGTTCCTTGAATTTCATCACTTACTGTGTCTCAGTACCTGTGATGAGATTCAGGCACGGAGTCTAGTCAGGCAAAACTTGAAAAACTGTCACATTTTGCTAGTTACAGAGGTGCAGATAGGCCAATGTAGAAGGTAACACCAGACTCATGTTTCTGTCTCAGTGGCTACCCACAACTCATCTGCAGAAGTAACCTTTGAGCTCTGTACTGAAATTTTCAAAGGAATTTAAGCACACAAGAGGGTAAAGTCAGCAGCAGCTTCAGTAAAGACTGGGGCCAGAGAGCCCCTACTAAGTTGGAGAGTAGCCCAGTTTGCCTCCTGTTTAGTGAGAAATTTTGACCACCTTCCCAAACTAGACTGGATGAAGAGAATCCAGATCATTTGTACTGTGGATGAGGATAGTTATTTTTCCATCTCTCCCCAACATATCACGATGCACTGAAGGCACAGGCTGACTTTAATTGTGGAAGCAGGCATCAGGTTTATCTAACCAGCATATTCACATTATGTTTGTTTTGCATCAGCTAAGTTCTAAGTAATTTAACCAGAAAAGTAATCTGGAAATAGTGACAAATCTCCTTACTCATTAAGAGCAAGCATTCCTTAGAAAGCCAAATCAAAGTGGGATGCTGTGAGCTTGGATCAGCATATGCTCCTTCATTAGCAGCACTGATAGCTACCAGCAGAGAGGATTTTTATGCCCCAAGTTTGTGCCATGCTCTCTTTGAGTCACTCTGACAATCAAAAGGAAATAAAAATATTATCAGCAATTATTGCCTGCATATCCTAGTCTCTGCTCTAGGCTCATATCAGGTCCCTACAGACGTTCCCATGAGTGTATTCCACAGCCCTAATGTGCCAAGCTGTGCCATACAACAAAACATTGTCATTGTATTCTTTTAGTTTCAAACCCACATTTTTCTTGGCAAGTTTACAGTCAGTGAAAAATAATTTGCTTTACTTTTCTAATTTAAAGACATGTTTGTATTTCTGCAGTAAGTTCCTCTATTCTTATAAAGGCTTCCACAATGCACATCCCTGCAAATGGATCTCTCAGATTCCACACCTGTCCTTGACATCTACAATGTTACAGCTCATTTCACTCAGGAGCAGAGAAGACTGGGGTGCCAAGTCCCATGATACAATTGCTATCCCCCTATTTGGAAATCTCTGAAGCAGAAATGAAAATTCTTTCATCCAGTGGCTGTTTTGGTAAAGAACAAAAACAAAACAAACAAATAATAATAAAAAAACAAAACAAAACAAAAAAAAACAACCATCAACACTACATGCAATTTTCATTTTGTGAGAAACAAGCAGGGAACCAAGAAGATTCCATGTGACCACGAGTCTGTGAGGAGCTCACTGGCAGTGTGAAGCACTTTTGAGCAAGTTCATTCTGAATCACCAAGCAAATGCTGCTAGAATTCACTCAGAGGAGAATGGCTCTTGGGACAGCACATCCATTCCACATCCTCATCACCCTGAAGGCTGCTCAGCACACCATACCCTGAGCTCCACAGCCCTGCTTGTTCTGGTAGACACTATGCAAGTTTTACTTGGTGTTACAGCACAACTGAATAAATATAGAAAATTACAAGAGCCTGAAACCCCCACCAAGTACTAACAGAAAAGTCAGAGATATTCAGGTATTCATGGAACAGTCCTAGGGCATAACCACTGCAGAAACAGAGGCAGAGTGTTGGCTTTGCCTGGTGGGCAGACTCAAAACCAAAAGAAGCACAGCCCTGATGAATCCACGTATTTCAAGGAATTATTTCCAAGCTGCACTGTCATTAGATTAGATTGGCTCCTTAGGGATATTGCTTTTTCAGGTGGCTGCATTTTGGCTCAGCCATTGATCCCTCACATCAAGTCTACTTACAGAGAAGAGAGTCTGTGCAGAAGCTGGGTCAGGGTCCTTTTCCTCTGAGGCACAGTTGAGCATCACTGGTGGCTTTACATCCATACCGAGAGGTGATGTATCCAAAGTGAGACAGCATCCTGTTACATTTTGGATACTGAACAATTAAAATGCTCAGTTAGTTCAGGAAGCCCTAGCTGAGATCTGTGGAGTCAGAATTTGTGTTTTAAAATTACCTTCATGCATTTTATTTTCTGCTTTCCAGAATGCTTCCAAAGAATCTCAGGCACACAAGTTATTGCTGAGACCAGGAAGTGTAGGATGATTTGTGAAAGTACCCATTAGTGTTACCCAAGACAGTCATGACCTATCCTCTATGCTTGCTTGCAACTGTACAGTTCCAGACACTGTCTGGACACCCCAGAACAAAAATTTTCTGGAGAAACAGCACTTGCACTAATGCTGCAATCCATCATTTGCACTAATGTCATAAGCTGTCTTCAAAACTCCAAAATATGATGGAAGTGTACTGTTAAACCTTTCCATGGGCTTCATGGGCAAGTAACTGTGTTCATTTATTCCACGTGCTTGCTTAAGAACATAAATAGAATAAACTGAGAAGTCTTCTTTGTGATATGAACCAAAGTAGATTTTAGTGGGAAAGCAGATGTTTCTGCCCTGCACAAGGGACCTGAACAATGTTTTAACATTCAAAATTATTTTCACATGAGAAT